ATTTGTTATTAAATATATATATATATCTACAGAACACACAGCGTCGTCCATAATCTTCTTATGATTGTAGTAGTTGTACAGACGAAGAAGAAAAATGTCGGACTTTTCAAGCTAGCTAAAAAGGTGCTACGATGCTGCAAAAAAACATCACACAACAAAGTCATCGAGTGGTTCATGACATCATCACTTTGATAGCTTTGATAGCTTTTGCTAATGGAGTCAGCAGTTAGTTGTTCTTTTACTTCTCTGTTGTTGTACTCTACTCGTTATTCATGAGAAACCCAGACAACTACTTTTATTTATTTAATTTAATAGAACTCAGATAAGAATGTCACTGCTCTGTTTGTCAGGTTTTTTATATCTTGTGTTGTTCTAAATATATACACTTGTATACATCCTCCAAAACTTATGCACAGCCCATGTTTATACATTTAAACCACTTCCTCCTACGTCACAGCCAGGATGTTCACCCACGTTCTTCTTCTTAGTCTTTCTCTCCATGTCTGGTGTGCAGCTCAAGGTAAAAAAACAAAAAAAGTACCTACCTTTTTCCCTTGCTGTGTTGTTGATGTCATTGATGAATTGATTTATATTAATTGTAAAACAAGCTAAAAACAATCTAAAAACTAAAGAAATAGTTTTTCTTCATATATCACTTTAACGTGTGTTCGTCAGACCGATCTAGAGGTGGATGGAGGTAAACTAAAGACTTTTGTCTGGTAGTAGAAACAACTGTACCGTTTGCTCTGAATGGAGTTTATTTTTTATTTAATGTTTTTTTTTCCTCGGTCTTTAATGAGTTTCTCTTTCTAGTTCCAGACTGCAGTGATAAGAGGAGTTGGTTTGTCATGACGGGTCAGGACTTACGTCTGAATGTCACGGCTCCTGTCGTCCTGAGTAAACGTGATCAGTTTAAATGGACGTTCAACAATATAGAAGTTATAGTAACTATTTATGCTGATAATTATACAGAACAAGATGACAGTTATACAGACAGGGCCTTCATTTCTGCAGAAAACAAGTCACTGCTTTTAAAGAACACACAAAACAATGACAGTGGACTGTACCGTGCTGAGCTTCAAACAAGACGTAATAAGTGTTTGGTTCAATACCAGGTCATGGTCCAAGGTAGGTTTCTATGAAGTCAGTTCAAATACCAAGACAACCATCACTTGTTATACTGAACTCTTATGTTGTTGTTTTTTTCCCTCCTTCACTCAGACATGGTGTCGAGACCAAATCTGGTCGTCACCCGTGTGTCCAGCAGCTCAGCTCACTGTGACCTGAATGTGACCTGCAGCACAGCAGACTCTGAGCTCATCACCAACTCTGTTTCATGTAACTCCAGTGACTGCAGTCTGCAGGAGACAGAGACATCCAGGGACACAGTCTCTGGTGCTGTCCTTAGTCTCTTCCTGTCACATGACAACTTAGTTGTATGTCAGCTCAGCAACAATGTCAGTCAGCAAAGAGTTACAGAGGAAATCCTTCAGCTCTGCGTCACAGACAGTGGTAGGAAACGTTATTATGACGTCTGTCATCTTTCCAAATGTTCTGACATATTGTTGACCCCTGAAGTATCTGTGGAAATGTTCTTTTCAACAAAAATCTCTCTCTCTCATTTGATTTCAGATTCCAGATTCTTCATCATTATTGGATCTGTTGTTGGGGTCACTGTGGTGATTTGCCTTGTTGTCATTTTCATCTTATTTTACAATAAACATAGACCAGGTAAGAGGATTTTACGGGAGGGGGGTGTTAACTTTGACAGCCCTGATGAAAACAGGAAACAATTACAAATGCAGTTTTTCAAAATAAAACTTTAAAAACAATTCTGAATATTTATGTTGTATTTACCTGCAGGTACCACAGCAACTGGAAATACGATACATAAAGTTCCTCAGGTAAACATCTACTCCCATTGGACCACACAGAATGGTCACTTTAATAGAACTTCAGTAAGACGTACATTTATTCTCTTCTGTCACTGCCTGATCTGTGCCTTTATCTTGGACAGCTCGTCCCAGGGGACACGTCCACAGATTAAGATTAAGACTTTAAAGTATTTTCAGTATATTTCAAAGTAATATAATTGCTGATGATCAGTTCCACTTTGTTGTTGATTTCCAGATTTCCCAGAGTCTAATCTCATCCAGGCCTGAGAGTCCCAAAATACCTGACACTGTCTGTGCCTCACTGAAACGGCCCAAAGAGGCAGACAGGTCTCCAGCAGAGTCACTGTAGAGCACAGTGTCAGAGGTGATCAGTGACAGAAGAAGAGCCGCAGAGGTGACAGTGAAGGTTTCAGCAGTAAGTAGTGAGATCTGTTGTGATGTCTGGGTCAGAGACAGTGTCTGCCGTTCTACGAGACAGTACTAGAGGTTGAGGAGATGAAGATGCTGAGATCTTCACCGTAGATGACCAGGATGTACTGGGTCAGAAATGATTCCGACTTTCAACAACACCAACTTTTATCAAATTTCTCAGCCAACTCAACACTCTCCTTCCTAAAGTGTTTTTTTGTGAGTCCGTGGAAAAGAGATTTGATTATACTGTATATAGATGGAAGTTGTGATGACTGCAGGACTATGACGCAAACCCAAGATAAGGCATTAATCTGGGATGTGTTGCTTATCTGGCCAAGTTACTATGGTGACGTACTGTCTAGCCTGTGAGGAATTACAGCATGTCCATGGTCTGTCTAAATTTTATTTACTGTCCATCATTTTAATTATCCTTGTATATTAGTAATTTATCTATGTTGTAACAATCATTTTTATTTTTATGTGTTTTATTATTATTATTATTATTATTATTATTAATCCAGCCTTTTGTCATTATCGCCATGCTAATGAAGACTGTGTCAGTCTGCCATCAGAGGATTAACGAACATGTTTTTATTGTTTAGATTATAAAACATGACTAATGAAGCTTCAGATGGATTCAGTGAAGTATACATATATACGTGTGTGTGTATATATATATATATCTAATTCACACACTTCCCATATTAATATACTAGGCCAGTGTCAACTTAGCGTACGCTGGTTTATTTTATAGATATACACCATCACACATATACAGTATCATGTAGGAAAAAATCTATATATGCACAATTATGAAGTGTATATAGTGTAATATATTGTAAGAATCTGGCACTTGCTTTACACTTCAGTGAAGCTTTATTGATGAACAGTAGCCAAGTCTTGCTGTTTAGCCACAACTCACGCTTTATCTCCACAACATTAACAGGGTAACTCTCTTTAGTTAACCTTTCTCTTGTGTTAGCTTTCTGGTGTCATCTCTTATGTTTACGGGTCAGTTTTGACCCACGTGTTAAATGAGCTATAAAATACACTAAAAACAATAAGCTATCATCCAAGTTTCTCTTGGTTACCTTGTTTGGCTTCCTTATCCATGAAAATGTTGGTTTTTCATACTTTTGGTGTGGGCCTCCTGGCCTTTTTTTGTCAGAATACCCCTTGATTTCAATTTGAAAAAAAAGATAAAATGAACCTCACGAGAATCATATTAATAAATAAAAGGTTGTGATGTTACCTGCATGCTGTTGGATGAATAGTGAAATAAGATGGTCTTTTCGGGTCTTATAATTGTAAATCTGACTCCAGAGGAGTCAGTGCCTCAGCAGTCATGAACTGTATGTCTAAGACAATCACATTGTCATTAATAAACTTGCAGAAACCAGCGCTTTGCTTAGGAGGATTTTGATGCTGAAAGTAGCCTACTAAATATACGTGTTGCTACTGAAGAGTTTAGTGTAAACCAAACAGAGATAAATACATGTTCTTCTTTATCAGATTTTTTTACCCTTAAAATATGTGTCTTATTTTAATTTAAAATCATTCATTGTGAAAGTTAACTGTTTTCCGGTGGCTCAAACGTGGAACTGCATATATAAACAAGTTCCCTCAAAAAGGTTGTCTGCTCTGTGTGTAGTTGTATATTTGAGCCACAGGAGGGCGCATGACTACAATCTCGTCGCGGGAAA